GAGAGAGAGAGAGAGAGAGAGAGAGAGAGAGAGAGAAACAAGGCAGAGTGAAGACTTGAACCCCAGCAGCCTGGACCCTGTGCCAATGTGTCCCTTTACTATCTACAAGTAAGTGGGTTTCAGGAGACCCTCCAGCCCTGGCCATGCAGACAGAAGTCGTATGGGTAAGGATCTTCTCCACTGGAGGGATTCTTCCCATAGCATTGTAAACCAGGCACTTGGGACCACCCTGAGTGGGAGTGGGGGACTCACTATGTAAGCCAAGCTGGCCTCAAACTTGAGATTTTCCTGCCTCAGCCTCCCAAGAGTTCCATGTGCCACTGTGGTCAGTGTAAGTTTAGGTTTTATTTTTTTTTAGGTACCGGGAATTGAACTCACAACCTTGCACTTGCCAGGCAGGCGCTGTGCCGCTGGGCTATATTCCCGGCCCTGAGTTTAGCTTTTAAAACTATGACCCTGTAATGGTTGATGCATTGTGTCAACTTGAGAAGTTTAGAAATTTAACTCAGCAGGGAGCCAGAGACTTCACTGTGTACACATCCTGAGCTTGTGGAAAAGAGGGTAGGAGATGGTGTGGGGGGGTAGCCAGCATACAATGTAAGGGAGGAAAAGAGGCTCGCTGTTCCCCCCTTTTTGCTCTTGTTGCTTTTGCTGTCTTCTGCCACCTTGTACTGTTGCCCCTCAGCCATGTGCCACCCTGCTTTGGAGCCAGCTGATTATGGACTGAACCCTCCCCAAACTGTGAGCTAAATAAACCTTCCCTTCCTTAATTTTGGGCATCGGGTATTTTGCCCCAGCAATGAGAGAAAAGTAACCAAGACAGACCCTTCTGTCTTTTTAAAATATCACTGTGGTGTCTGTCTGAGGCCACGTCCTCTCGAAGCATCCTCCCCTCAGACTCAGCCCTGCAGTGTGGTTAGGCCATCCTGCAGCTCCAGCTTGGAGAAGGCAGGGACTTCTAACACGACCCCAGTGCCGCTGGGGAGCAGCTGGGGGACAACTGCCCCTGAGCGCCTACTCTGTGCGGGGTTCTGGGCTGCAGGCCCTTCCCGTGTACCCTGGCAGCATTCACCACAGCCAGGCAGAGCCTGCCTCGTCCCCATGGAACAGAGAAGGACGCTGAGCTGCAGGGGGTACAGTAGCTTGCCTGAGGGCACAGGGCAGAGCTGGAAGTTGAACCCAGGTCAGTGTCTCTCAGGCTGAGCCACACCCAGGCTGTCCTCCCAGGCCTGAAGGGGTCACTCTGATGCCTAGCAGGACTCCGAGGGGACTACCTTCAGTCAGCAAGGGTGGGCAGCAGGCCTCTGAGCTTCCGGCCTGGAGGTACAGCAGCTGGTCTCTTCGTGGGACTGCAGTGCCAGCCTCTCCTGGGCTCTCTTTTCCAGGACTGTTTGGGGTCACTCTGTCTTTCCAACCAGCTGAAACTGGACACTTCCCCTGCCATGTGTGAGGGCCAACCACTGAAGAAACCTGGGTACAAGGTTAGAAAGAGACTGCCCTGCCCAGGAGGCAATTCCTCTGCCCGACGTGTGCACAAGCTGAGGACCGAGGAGGCCACCTGACCAGCTTGCCTCTGTCCTCTGCTTCCTTGGACTTCTCTAAACTTTTTTTTTTGTACTGGGGATTAAGCTCAGAGATTTTTGCACTAAAGGTTAAAGCCTAGAGCTGGGCGTGGTGGCACATGCCTATAATCATAGCACTTGGGAGGTGGAGGCAGGAGGATTGTTGCGAGTTCAAGACCAGCCTGGGCTACAAAGTGAGGTCAAGGCCAGCCTGAACTGCACAGCAAAACCCTGTCTCAAAAAGATAAA